ATACATATATGTGTGTGTGTGTGTGTGTGTGTGTGTGTGTTGGGGTTTTTTACGGGCGCGTGTGTCTGTGCGTGTATATCCATATATATATATATATATATATGTATATAAAGAACTAAATATAATTTAATCTGTTCATTTGCGTCATGACTATAGGGGACTAGAATATGGACCAAGGATGAACATAAACGATGGAAGGCCGCGGTAGTGCTCACAGCAGACGATGATGATATCAAGGCAGAGGACGAGGAGTCCCGTGTTGTAAGACTTGAATATCTATCACGTATTAATAGTCCGTGTATATTCGTAGTACTTATGCTATACGTCTGTGTATATTACTAGAATATACTAGTAGGGTTGCGTATATATATTGATGGTACTGATAACCCAAAGTGACCTGTAAGCAAATTCTAAACAATAATGTCCACCCATATAGAGATCTGATATCGAAAATGTACAATGTATAAAAAAGCTGAAGGCGCCTAGTAGTGGAAAGGTGGTGTAATTGTACCGCAATGCTAGCCGATATTTGGCGATAAAATATTCGGAGAATGTGCCCTCTTCTCTCTCCAAAAAAATATTTCACGGACTTTATATCAGTCTAAAAGAACTGAGTTGGGAGTGACTGCTGCTCATTCTCCTATTGACGTTGGAATTGGGGGTTTAGTACGAGGTCTCGCATACAAAAACTGGCGCATATTCTCGGAGAGTATAAGGGCGAAGCGTTTGATATTGTACTGTCTGGGTGTACTTCCTGGTGGTATTGTCGGTTAGAGACAACGCATAAGTACATGTATGTATGCAAACAATTTCTCCACAAATACTAAGTCACCTAAATTAGCGTAGATAGGCATTCAACTACCTGCATAGACTCGTAGCATGTAGTTCTTTGTGCATATATGTATTTAGATGCCCTATGCTATATAAAACTCCAAGGTCAGATACGAGTTCGTCCTGTACAACCGCACGAGACTGTGAGACGCTTACAATCTGACTTAGCGGAGTTATCTTCACGAAGTGGTAGTTCTGCAAGCATAGTATATGCATGTATCCACACAAATCGTCAGTCATATATACTTAGGTGACAGTACATCTACACAAATCTGCTCATCTGATACATACATGCACCTTCAGTGTCTTCACGCACACGGACAGGAATACAACCTCCATACACTCCTGTGCATAGCCTCACACATCAACCTACCTCACTCATACTCAAAATATGTCAACATCGTCACACAACGCCAGGAGTATAATCTCAAGGTTAAAGACAAGCCCTTCCTGTGCAACCCCATGATTCTGCAAGATGTGGACGATCTTACAGAGCTGAGTTATCTGCACGAACCGGCTGTGTTGCACACACTCAGGACACGCTATGAGAATCAGGAGATCTACACATACTGTGGCATTGTGCTGGTGGCTATGAATCCTTTCGCCTCGCTGGATATATACTCCAAGGTATGGTGTAGGTTTACAAACACACGGATAATGATAAATGAAGACTATATAT